TCCTTTAAATGCCCTCTCACTGCAAAATGAAGATGTCCCCTGCCTAATATATAATTGCAATAACACGTGATTTGATCAATATTACATTCAATCTAAAACAGATACTCTTTTTAAATGGTTAATACTTTTTAAATGGTTAATACTTTATTCAGTTAAGAGATGTCAAAGGCGCAAACTTAGAAAACCACAATAGCTCGGCTTTGAGGGCACAGACAGCAATTTTCTGTTACTCCTCGCCACCCCCCCCCCCCCATCGCCATCAGAGATGGAGTCAGTATGTCTATGCAATTTAAGAGGATGACCATGATCTTTTGGCCTCATGTAAAACCTTATTACATGTAAATGTATGTAAAATGAATATTTATGTGTATATATTCATGGTAAGTTTCGGAAATAATCTTGACTTAAAAATATTTTATCTTCTTCCTTCAGGAAAATGGAAAAGATGACTATGTGAAAACTCTTCCCGAAAAACTTGGGTATATCGAGGTATGTGTTTTAGCCACAATTCCATGTTTGTTTTCGATTTTGATAATTAAGACTGGACTGGCAGCAGGAATCTCCGTGCATCAGCGAACCTAAATTGTCTACAATGTCATAATTTAATTTTTTACCAAGAATACCGCTGTACTTTTCATCATGCTTTATTTCTATTGAAATATAATACATATATAAGGATGTTTATTATATGATTTAATCGAATTTAAATGCAGACTAACTTTGTTCTTTTAGAACCTGTTCAAAAAGTGGGGGACAGAATACATTACAACGAAGGTATGCTTTGATTTTATAACATTTTGCGATTATTCCCGACGATTTGTAAGGATAATTTCAGAGATCGAGTTTATCCATCGGAAAAAAGAACACATTTTAGAGTGATCACCACTGCATGGCAGTGATACTGTAACCAACAAAAAGAAGTCGACTTCCTCGAATTATTTGCCAAATGGGTCATTTTATCGATTTCTTAAAATTTTTGTATCTCTATTTTTCAATTGATTTGTGTGTGTCCGTCAGTGGGCTTCTGCCGCCGTCATAGTGATATTTGCAGGCAGTCCTGTAACTTATTTAATTTAAGAGCTCCTCTGTTTCGGAGACTTTTTTTGCAGAAAGCCATTCTGTCATGCTAGTTGCGAAATAAGGAATATGTACAGTTGTGAATAAAGGCATTTAGCAATTGACATTTGTTATTTTTGGAACACTCGGATTTATTTGCACAGCAATGATCATTCAACAATTGATATTTGCCATGAAGAAAATGTTATATTCTATGTTTGTTTTTTCTTATCGTCTGCATTTTTTCAGATATCATTTGCTGATTATATTCTTTTTGATCTACTCGACATTCTTTTAAAATTGTCCCCTAAACCCCGGGCCCAGACGCCCCTTACCCACACTTTAAAAACTTTCTTTCGATTTGCATGGCTTCACGGGCCTAACTTAAAAAAATGCCGGAAAAAAGAGGGAATTTTTTAAAAAAAGCCCCGTCAATGGGAAAAGGGGGAAAAGTAAATATACAGGAAGTGACGTCAGCATTATTAACAAACTAAATAGCACAATCATTTATTAGTGTGCATTTTTATTAACGAATGCCCGTTTACTGTTACATGTAATAAAATTCCAATGATCTACAGAAGGTACACTGCTTCCGGTGTTTAACATATTTTTAAGATCATTCATTAAATAATCATCTATCATTTATTTTAAAAGTTTCTTTTACTACATTTTTGTCAAATTAAATCATGTGATGTTCAAAATATATAACAACGAGTTTTTGTTTGTTGTTAATATGTGTTACATATTCAGTTACATTTACCAAGTAAGTTAGTATACTGATAAATTAGTGAAGAAACATAAGCAAATACAAAGTTAAAGACTATATATGTGTAATTGTAAATTTGTTTGTATGTAGAATCTATATATCTAAAAAAAAACAATGATAAGTATAAATGAATGAACTTTTATTTAAAAAACAAGAACAACGATGACGAAAGTAGGTCACAGTTTCAGTCGGTTTTTACTTGCCAATAGTGTAATGTAAGAAAAAGTTATGCAAAATAATTGTCACCTATACACTCGTATTTCAAGTGGAATAAACAAGAAGTGGTCGTACCTCATAAGTCGGTGGATGCATTTACCATTGTTTTCTTTTACATCAAATTCATTCACTTCCAAACTGCTGCAATTCTACATGCATTATTATAACGGTCATAACACACGTTAAAGCCATGGTACTATATATAGCCCCTAAATATGTAAACTTTAAAAGAACTTGTTTAGACTGTTTCGAGGCCATTTTGTTGGACAACCCCTAGTTTAGCAATAGGGTATGTAAGTCTCGTCATGTGACTTGCGAGATTTCACGATATTTTGCACTTCCGGGTACAAACAAATATCAACAACATTGCTTATCTATATTGGGTAATACTTGTATGCCGGTGGGAAAGTAAAACTTATATGGAAAAGCAAATGATATGTGAAAATTGGCAGAGTTTTTTGTTTTGTAACGAAATGCAAATGGTTTCATCTTGTGTACAAGTATCAATGAAAGACAACTTCGTATAATCTTCAGGTGGGTGTGTCATTTCAAATTCAGTTTATCCCAATAAATGTTGTAATATTTTCATTTCCATGTAAATCTAATAAATTTGTTTTTTGATACAACATCATTCGCATCTGACACCAGACTGGTGAATTTGATTTTATCAATTTTCTATAGCGCTGCCTGATTATCTCTCAGAAGTATATAATGTTTAGAAATTTCGGACAGCGCATATTTCGGATAAACGTTTTAATATGATTATCAATGTGTTTTAGTTGAATATATTTTCTTCCAACTGAAAATATTATTTATTTATAATTATTATCTTTATAAAGCACAAACAGTCAAGCTGTATATAACCAATTTAAATTGTCATAAAATTTAATGAAATATTTTGCTCCTGTAGATATTTTGACAGAGGACAGTGGTGAGATGAAAGACGTCAGTATCCATTGTAAATACACATGCATGCTCTGAAAGAAAATGTCCATACACAGTCTTGGAGTACATAGTGGTAGAGACATGGCAGTCCATTACAGATTTTGACTGAATTAAAGCTTCTTAAAGCCTAGGGTTTCTTAATCGGACAAAAATCATAATCGATCATCGAAAATAATCGAACAACCTTTTTCGATCAATCATCGATTATATAATCGAAACATTTATGATAACAAAGAAAATATGTACAATGCACATATCATGCTTTAATATTTATAAGAATTCCATTAATATTCTATATTTTGTGTAACTACCACTTAATCAACTGAAATAAACTAGTAACTCATGCTTATGTTCATCTTTGAGTAAAATATTTTAATCAAATAAATTCATTATATCTATGAAATTATTATGTCTCAATCCAATAAAGGAATGAATAAGCTATGTATTGGAACAAGAGAAGTTGGTCATTAATAAAAATGCCAGGTTTTTTTAATGTCGTATACTTATATTGTAACCATTTTTAGTTTAGTGTGTAGATTAATTTTATACATATCTTCTTTGTTTGAAGTCAAAACATGTTTATTTCATATTTACAAATAGACTGTGTAGCAATTTTCTAATTTCAAATTTGAGCATAGTATGTCTGTAAACTAGAATGCCTCACTGTCAACTATTAACCTCATGGTCACCAGTATGCTTTCTCATTCATTTTAATGAAAATTATTGGGTAAACCAAAGCTGGCTTTAATTTAAAGTGTTGTTATAATACTGTAATAAGTGAGTCACTTAAGTAACAGCAAGAAGATAAATAACCGATGATCGATTATTGAACTTTATATTCGATCATCGCTAATCGGTCCTATAAACGATCAATTATCGATTATACTCGATCATCGTTTAATCCCTATTAAAGCCCCATGTCTTGTGTAAACTGTCTGACTGAATGTTTGTATTCTAATAAAAACTAAGGTTGAAGACACTTCAAAGATAAACAAAATATATGTCAGTGTAAAAATGTTAAACAAAATATCTGTCTTTGTTAGAAATAAATAACCTGTCTTTATTAGAAATAAATAACCTGTCATTTGTAACTTTGTATTAACTTAATTATTCAAAGATAATTTATCTTCTGCAAATGGCTGCCCAAAACAGTTTCAACCAGGCATCATGTAGTTTCAAAACAGTTAAGATAAATTTGTTATGAATAGACTTGTAAAGTAACAGGAATGGTAAAAAGATAAATGTTCAGCATTAAAATGTTTCCATCTTGATTGATTCATTTCATATTATCACCATGATCACTGCAATTGCTTTTAACTTCTGTCCATGTACATATGTGTAAATGTAGTCATTGAAGAGCTGTCAAGAACTTTTCATCAATATTATTTAGATAGTGTCTGTTTCGATTTCAGGACAGACAAAATTCAAATGACATGCATAGTATTTAATATAGTCAATGCTTGCATATTCAAGCAATCTAGCCATTGCTGTTAGAGAATTAAAGTACACAGTGACACTTATTTTGCAGATGAACTCTTATGATCAAGCACTGCTATAAATATATGCCAAATAGTAGAAACAAAAAACAGTTCATAAGTTTAATAAACCTTTATTTTTACAAAATTTATAGTGCACTGCTTAGCATATATATCACACTGATTTTCCAGTGGAATCATATTCTAATTGAAAAATGTTCAGCTTGATATCAAAGCTTTGAATGCAAATTTGTGAGCTTATCAATGATTACCTCACAATATTAGTAGTAGATGATATATAATATTTTTGCTAATCTTTACTTCATAGTCATTTAATGTCCATAATGTCATATGACTATACTGTGATTCCATGAAAAACCTTATCTCTGGTGTGTTATCAGCTTTGGTATATATAGAGTATCTAGTTTTAATACTTAAAACTGCAATGAAATGTGGATATTTTACTCTGTTTCTATCATTGTGACATTAACATGTTAACAAGATCATAGTGTCAAACACCTTAAAATCATACTCTTTATACATTAAGATTTTTGTGCTGGATGTCATTCATCTTCTTCAGGATGGTACATTTGACTATTCTCAGTGGCTTATATTAAACTAATATTTCACTGTAACTGTGTGTTCTCTGATATCATTCTCAAATTAAGGAACTGGAAGATGGTAGTTGCAATAAAGGTCTTCATGGACAAATCCTCCTTCATCTTTTCCCTTTTTATCTGCAGAATGAAAAATCAATAAATATGTTGTTAATACAAGTGTAAGACACTAGAAATGATATTTACATTACATTTAATAAGCTGGTCATGATTGACAGAAACATTTCATATTTGAAGTAAATAAACATTAAAGATAAACAACAACACATATTGATCTTCTTGAATGTGAAACATGACTGTTTTTAATGTTTTATTTACTTATCAATTATCATGCAGTGAAATCCAAAAGTTATTAATATATTTTGATAATTGTTTATCTTTCCGATCTCAACTAAAAATTAATCAATTATTTTACATGTATTTACCTTTGATGTATAGATATTTCAGGATCATAGGCAGTGCAAACAGTTGATTAATGGTCCATATTGAACAACTGTATATTCTATACTTGTCATATACCTCCTTGTCTATACATCTGAAATGGTTTAATCAAATATTATATTTTTTAATTCAATCATAATTTGCTAGATACCATATTAACATGTATATATAATTGAAAAAGGAACAAGAATAAAATGGGTGGGAAAAAATATCCGAATTACTGTGCAATGTCCGAATTTTGTATAACTTTAATATACACTAGAATTAAAGTGTTTCTCCATTGTTTTTTTTCAATAAGTTAAAATGGTTTGAATTAATTTCTCACATCAGTAGTTTTAAAACAATACTAAAAGCTAAATAACTAGAATTCACTACCTTGACAAAACATCCGAAACAATTGTCACTATCCGAAAATAAACTAGTTTTATTAAACTCTATAAATCCCTCGTTTTTCCGTCAGATAATTGACCTACCTGCATTTTTTGACCCGTGCTATCCATTCCTTCAAATCTGAAGAGGACCGAAACAAATTTAACTTCTATATCCCTCGAGTTCTTCGGGTTACCTATATGCGCAACGGTAAATAAGTCTGCCGATGTACCCGGAAGTGGTAAATCGAAAGTGAAAGTAAACGAGACTTACGGGCCCTATTATACATAACATAACAAACATGTTATTCAGTCTTCTGCATATACAGTACATCAATATTTACGAGTTAAAACTAGCCAAAATAAGTAGTACTTTAATTTCTAAAGTGACACTTCAAATAATTTAATTGATATTCGTGAACATTATGCCTCAGAAACGAACACATTTTTTACTTTTTTAGAAAGGACAAACTTTGGTTTTACAACATTTAAATAATGGTTTAAGAGCATGTTAGATGATAATTACCTAAAGAAAGTAGCGGTAAATGTGAACCCATTTGTCATAAAAGTAGCAAAATGTAAACAAAGTAGCAAAATGTAAAGAAAGAAGTATTTTGACTTTCATATTAAATACTAAATCACTTGCCAAATTGCCAAAAAGCAACAGAAGAAAAAGGAAGGTAACTGGCCAATGAGTATATTTTTGGAAACTATAAAAGTACACCAGAAATAATTAGCTGTAGAAGTATTTCTGTAGCATAAGAGCCTTTAATCAAGGAGCAAGCAAGATATGTAGATATCCCTGATAAAAGGTAGTAGCATTTTGAGGCTTAATGAACCTTTAAGACAAACAGTCAAACTTTACTCATCACCTCGGAATAACAATCCCAATATAAGATAGAAACACAGGTATTTCATTTATTTAGTTGTAAAAACGCTCAGTCCATGATTTCCCGCTTGTTGTTTGTTGTCTGATACGGACGTTGTTTGCGAAGGCAAAAAAAAGAGAACAAAACAAAAACAAAAAAACATTAGAAACTGACAAAGGCATAAACGCTTTGGGTCCAACACGAGTCGGGACAATTTTCTTCATTTTTTTTATATATTTTTTTTAATACACAAATGTACTTTATTTTACAGGAAGTGACTAGATAAGTTTCAAGCTCTTATCACAATAGCTATAAAAACAAGTATCTTAAAACTTCCTTTTATATCTGCCCCTTATGGATTTGAAAAAAACAACAACAACAAACAATGAATCAACTAACTTGAAATACTTACACTTTTTGTTATTTTGAATAAATCATAAGAAGCGATTATAGGGAACTTATCTATAGCCTTTGTATGCTAAGGAGCAGCAATAATTAAATTTTGTCAACTATACGACATATTTATAAAGAGTCAATATCCGAGGTATGTGAAACCAAGACATCCATGTACTATAGCTTCAAGTAGTTCAAGCAAGCGGACAGGAAAAAGAATTGATTCTCAAAAACTTGATAAAAAGAAATGTTTAAGATATTTGCATACACGACCCGAGGCTCAAAGACTCTTTATCGTCCTGTATTGACACTGTAAAGGTCACATGGCGATGGTGAGGTTGTCCCTCCGTAAATCTGGCACAAGCGGCTAACCATGCAGATAGAACCACTGACCTTGGATAAAATCCTAATTTGAAATAATCTTATGTGTCGAGTGTATTTTAATCTACAGCGATGAGCACTCGGCTCTACTTACCCTGGCGTCAGTTGAAATAACCACATCCTTAACCAATTCATTTGAAAAGTTAGGGTATTTTTGTAGAGCTGACGAGCCACGTTTCAAGCGTCGGATAACGAAAGGGATACAACTGAAAATACTAGTAACCGAATTCTTGATTATATGGGATTTACTTTCCTTAGAACTTACTGCGCTCATCAAAAGTTTTAATGAATATTTTACTTAAATCGTTTCGGGGTCTTGTTATGCACTCACATTTTATTTTTGTTTTGATTTATCTTTCGATTATAAGGTCACTGACGTCCAACCACTTGTCCCTCGCTGCTGTGGTAATAACCCAAGTCTTTCACGTGGGGAAGCTATCCAGCTAGCTTAAAAAAGCGGCGGTTTAACTCAGGTACTCGCAAGTGCTTGAAACAATGAATGGGGTACGGGACAACCGAGGTCTTCATTCATTAGTAAAGCTGAGAACATGATGTTAATGCTGGAGTCAGAATGTCTTTCTTAAAACTATAACCATATAAATAATATTCGATGGAAAGCAATAACGTGCATATTGAAACATTCAGTTATCAGCATGTTTACTAATTAGAACAAGCAACTCTTTTATTTCCTATGGAAATCAAGTTTTTAGTAATCAAGCTTGCATCACCGTGCAAAGTTTCTTTTTCTTCTTGTTAAAGTTTTTTTTTGTTGTTGTTTTTTTTTAAGAAAGGGTTTGTGATTTTGCTTGAGTTTAGTCATTTGCCTGCATTAATCTGGTTGGTCCTACATTCTTCAAAACATTTTGTGTGTGTTTTAGTTTTATTTTAGTTCGGCGCCGGAAATTACATATGTCCGAGATCTTAGCGTCCATGCCGGTCTACTCTAGAAGTCTCATCGGGGACGTGTTTTTTCAAGCCGATCTTTCTTATCCTGTTCTTCGTTCGTTGGAGGAAAATACAATACTGGCAAAGCATCATGTTCCGTGACGGCAGCAAACAGGCGGTTAACATAAAACGGCTCTTGTTAGCGCCACCCTCCCGAGTTAGTCACGACAGGTCAACCAATCGTCTCTGGTACTTGAGACGACTTGACCTTGACCTGCCGTGTGCCTTCTCCGCGACGTGCACGCCTCGGGAGGGATTTGGAGATGAAATTCTTCATTAATTGCTTTCATTTAATTCGAGACGTCTGAACTGTCCTTGGTCCGCACATGCGCAGAAAGACAATATATTACGACTTGCTGACGCAAATTTCGTAATGTTCGATACAACATTTAAAAAGGTGCTTGTTCATATCAATTGACAGAATTATCATTATCGATTATAAATTTTCTTATAATAAAAATAATGAAATAAAAACAAGCATTGGTTCTTTGATTTTATTTTTTTCTTCTTTCTGTTTTTTTTTTCTAACTTTTCTTGCATATTATCATCACGGATTTATATTACATATAATATAAATCCGTGTTATCATAAACATTTTGATAATCAATTTTCAAAAATACAAAATGTACATACATAGTAAAAACAAAATAAAAATGCCATTTTTAAACACAAATGTACAAATAAAAAAGCAACATATATTCTCATTCAATCAAATGTGAGAATCAACATCTTGCATTATTTTACATTGTTTATTTTTATACAATTTATCTATACTAATTAAATTGTTTTTATACAATTTATCTAAACTCACTTTTATTTCAATATTAATTTCTTTGGCATAAAAATAACAAACTATCTAAAAAAGTTGCATTTATGTTTATCTAAACTATAAAAGTATAGCATTAAAAGTCGTTCACTATTGTTTTATTTTGTTTGAGTATTCTTTGTTTAATACAAAATGGTAAGTTTCTGATATGAAACAAAAATATCTAGAAGCGTTTAGCTACATTTGAAATTAAGAACTCAAACATTCAAATGCATTCAGGTCGCACCGCTAGAAGGCGCTTCTTATCGCGACCCACAAATTTATGTTTAAGTACATAGCAGACAAAAAAGTTGTCCTTGACAGCTTATCAGTTAGTCCTTGTACCTATGAGCAGACATATAAGATAAACATAAATACAGGTGCTTATCAAAGTACAATTTCCAACGTGTAAACATTATCCAGTTTTATCTGGTTCATGGCTAGCGTCAAAGTTCAATGTCAAGTTTATATTATCTTGCCATATCTGGTACATGGTGTGATTATTCACGTGTTGAATAATAATGCAATCTGTTTCAAAACCGGATACATAAAAAATGCACTATATTGCTGGCATTATACGTAACTGGTTGGTATTTTAGTTTTTGGACAGTTTTATCCTGCGCAATACCAATTTTCGGTTTTCTGTTAAACGACCTATTCATTTTAACGAATTACCAGTTACAGTAGCAAGACTGGACCAGCCGCTTTTAAAACACAAGAATTGGACCTTTGTGTTCATTTTTCCATTGTGTTAAAAACATACTTATGATTATTTCCACATTTTCCCTTAGGGTTTAATGGATGAAACTAAGCAAATTTAAGCTTAAGTTCTTGTCCAATCATTGGAGAATGAAGTTTTAATCCATGAGAATTTCAAGTGATATTTTCAACCATGCGAAAATGTCCGCGTTCGTTGTTGTTGTTCTCGTTTGAATTTCAACACTGGACTACTGTTGTTGTTTTGGTCAGACAGGTCTTTAACAAACATCTCAGTTTCCTCAACCCTGAACATAGCTGACTTCACTGAAAATAAAGCAGAAAGGTTTTCATTATTTGATATTTTTGTTTATAAATTTGTCAAAGTGGCTGAACAGATTTTATTAAAATTTACATGTATAAAATCTATCTTAAGAAGCAGGTAAATAACACAGCTGTTTTTTTCGATCCAGTCTTTTTAAACACTGAGATCATAATATGAACAAATGTTAAATATGTGAAAGTACTGACATATAATTAAATGTTGGTAAAAAAAACACTTTTATAACAAGGGTGCCATAGTCACAAAATACGCCCGTTTACGAAAAAGCTTTAGATGGAGATGGGGGCATTATGGATAAGTGTTATCTAGCAAGCAAGTTTTTATTCTTGGCACTGTGTTGTTAAATGAACCTTAAAACAAATCAATAGGGAAGATATGCACAGAATGTGTGACCTTGACCTTGGTCGCAGGGACCTGAATTTTATGCACGGCACTCAGCCTCACAATGATGAACATTTGTGCCAAATTATATTGAAATCCCTCTATGCATGTAGAAGTTTTGCTCCAGACAAGTGTTTTTCTATGAGCTCTAACTGTGACCTTCACCTTTGACCTAGAGACTTGGTTTATGTGCAGGGCACTACGTCTCATGGTGGTGAACAATTCTATAAAAGTAACATTAAAATTCCTCCATGCATGTAGAAAATATGCTCCGGACAACATCTGGATATTTAATCATCTCCAGTGACCTTGACCTTGCAAATATTAACCTAAATTAAATGTGTAACACCTGTAGTCATGATAGTTACCATTTGTGCTACAATCCATCAATAAATGATGACTAAATGGTCCCTATAACCATCTTCAAATTTGTATCTGAACTTTGACCTCTATGTGTAACCTTGACTTTGGTCGCAGGGATCTGAATTTTGCATGCGACACTCAGCCTCACAATGGTGAACATTTGTGCCAAGTTATATTGAAAACCCCCTATGAATGTAGAAGTTTTGCTCCGGACAGGCGTTTTTCAATGAGCTCTAAGTGTGACCTTGACCTTTGACCTGGAGACCTGGATCATGCATGGAGCAATACATATCATGGTGGTGAACATTTCCATAAAGTATTATAAAAATTCTTCCATACATGTAGGAGATATGCTCCAGACAAAATCTGGATATTTCACCATCTTTAGTGACCTTGACCTTGCATATATTGACCTAAAGTACATGAGTCACAGCCGTAGTCATTATAATGACCATTTGTGTTACAATCCCTCAATAAATGATGATTAAATCGTCCCTATACACATCTTCATATTTTTATCTTTTTTTAAACGGGCGTATAAAAAGTACATGTAATTTAATAACTAAAAAATTCTGATTTAAGATTTTATTCTAGGGAAATACATTTCATTACAATTCTTAATCTTTGAATGAGCTGAACTGATATTTACTTGAAAATTAAAATATAATTAAATTTCTATGAGAAAGTATTTACATTTGATAAGGTAATTACTGTATGATCTTTATGAACAAATACCAAGTCTACAGAACACCAAAGTTATCACAGTTAAGAATCTTGACCAATGAATGAAACATGTGTAAATAAATGTTACATTCTTTAGAACATACTCAAGTCCAAGAAAGAGGATTATTTTATGCCCTTTGATTAAATTCTATTTTTAGAATTGAAAGTGAAAATAGATCAAGGGGAGTAATTGTGTAAGTCATTTATGAACAAAGTAATAACTTTGTTGTCACCCTTTGATTAAATTCTATTTACAAAATCTGGATATTTCATCATCTTTAGTGACCTTGACCTTGTATATATTGACCTAAATTATATGTATCACAGCCATAGTCTTGATAATGACCATTTGTGTTACAATCCCTCAATAAATGATGACTAAATGGTCCATATACACATCTTCATATTTTTATCTGAACTTTGACCTCTATGTGTGACCTTGACCTTGGCCGCAAGGACCTGAATCTTGCACGCGACACTCCGCCTCACAATGGTGAACATTTTGCCAAGTAATATTGAATCCCTCTATACATGTGGAAGTTTTGCTCCGGACAAGCATTTTTCAATGAGCTCTAAGTGTGACCTTGACCTTTGACCTAGAGACCTGGTTCATGTGCGCGACACTGCTCCTCATAGTGGTGAACATTTATATGAAGTTTCATTAAAATCCCTCCATACATGTAGGAGATATGCTCCGGACAAAATTGGACGCCGTCCGCCCGCCCGCCCGCCCCGACCGCCCGCCAGGGGCGTTCCCATAATACGTCCCGTTTTTCAAACGGGCGTATAAAAATGATATTTGTTTCCAGTAACATTTTAAGTGTCATTTATATTTTGTATAACACTGTATTGAAGAGAATTCACCATTAGATTCTACTAGTTCCTTAACATATAAAATAAACAAAACATAATGGACTCAACAAAAAACAAGCGTCTACTTCTTTACCTAATTATGTATAATTTCAATGACCATGATCAAGCAAAGTGAATTTAAGAGCAAACCTATTGTAAAAATAATACTATGACCACAGCAGATTTCGTACAGGAAAGAAAAGATTTAAAAGGTCAAGACAAACAAGTATATATCTTTATAATTATTAATGTATAACAATATTAAAAAAATGGTCTCACCTGGTGATAATATTTTAGATGCTGCGTAGCTCAACAAACGTGCTACTATAAACAGGATAACAGCATAAAACCCACATATCAGTAGTAAAATCAGACCCTTGGACTCGAACCCATTATTTTTCTGCATGTCGGTTCCTCGTGACGTCATTCTTATGCTGCCTGTTGGGTTGCTGTAACACCGCACTTTCAATGTTTCAAAATCTGGGGACATTGGTAGTTTACCTTCTACAACTGTAAATAAAAAAATATGTTTCTGTAAAATTCATATATAATTAAACTGATAAATGATACAAAATATGAAAGGAAGAGCAACGTGAAACAACCCACTATCCAAACTTGGTACCAGAAGAGTATTAACTTACACGTGCAGAGTTGCATCGTATAAATCAGAAATCAATCAAAATAAACAAACAAAATAGTCCGATGAGACGTCCTGAGACCCTCATTTCTAATGGTTTAGGTTCTTCTAACAAACCATTCACACCAATTTTTCTAACCAATTAAACAGGTAATTAAACCCTCTGTAACTTTAATGCAAGAACAACAACACTGCTTAATCTGTTAATCTGTTTATTATCCGGTGCATATTACATTAATAGTTATTATACGGAAGTGTAATATATTACAAATCAGTGCATTTTCACGAAAAGGGACATTTCGATCAATATATAAAATATACCTTCATTTAGAATATGTACATATATGGTAATAATACGATTATATATGGAATGAATTATCAACGAAACTATTTCATCATCCGAAACGTTATACATAGTAACCCCATACATCGTTACAGTAAAAAATATTTGTACATGTACTTCTACACTAGTCTACTTCTACACGTGTACTTACTGAAAATTAATAAGCAATAAAAGTAAACGTAAAATGATATGATATTTGAAAGGTATTAAATGATATTTTAATTACAAAAAGGTATAAAAAATAGTCTTTTTATAGAAAACAAAACTTATTTTACGAGCACTTTATCATCGTTTATGCATAATATGAAAAATATTGATAAATTATTCAATTAACATACCTAAAATTTAATGCTTCCAATTATCAATTCCACAATTTAGTATTAAATTGTTTATCATATCGCACTTTGTTGTGCTTTCCAAACAGCGGACTGATCAGTAATGAAAGCCCATGAAAGCAAATCGTGAATATACATGATGTGTTTACATGATTTCATCATGCAGGTTATGTAGGTCAAACTATAACTACCTATGTAGGAAAATCCCACGATTATAAATAGATCATGCGCGTGCCGCATGATATCCGTTATAATTTTCCGTTGACATTGACACAGTTAATCTATAAATAGCCTATATTTGTACCGCTGAACTGATTATGCTGTAATAATAATCTTCATTATTATGCAGTAATCTTCATTACGAAAGTAAATAATAGGACAATAACAATAGTCCACAATGCTTAAATAAAGTCTACTGTATGCCTATAAATAATTAAAAAAAAAGCCTTTGTTATAAAAATATATTTATAAAATAAAGACTAAATGTAGGTACCGGTGTATGTACTGGGTAAATTAACCTTTCACCTCATATATACGCGAAACAACGCACTTTCGACCCCCCCCCCCCTTTATTAGGCCTCAAATAGTGAAAAATTGTCCTATGTAATGAAAACTGTATATAGACATTGCATGGATGTACCATGAATGAAAACTGTATATATGAAAACTGTATATAGACATTGGATGTACCATGAATGAAAACTGTATATATAGACATTGGATGCATCATGAATGAAAACTGTATATAACCATTGGATGCATCATGAATGAAAACTGTATATAGACATTGGATGCATAATGAATGAAAACTGTATATAGACATTGGATGCATCATGAATGAAAACTGTACATAGACATTGGATGCATCATGAATGAAAACTGTACATAGACATTGGATGCATCATGAATGAAAACTGTACATAGACATTGGATGCATCATGATTGGAAACTGTACATAGACATTGGATGCATCATGATTGGAAACTGTACATAGACATTGGATGCATCATGAATGAAAACTGTATATAGACATTGGATGCATCATGAATGAAAACTGTATATAGACATTGGATGCATCATGAATGAAAACTGTACATAGACATTGGATGCATCATGAATGAAAAACTGTACATAGACATTGGATGCACCATGAATGAAAACTGTACATAGACATTGGATGCACCATGAATGAAAACTGTACATAGACATTGGATGCATCATGAATGAAAACTGTACATAGACATTGGATGCATCATGAATGAAAACTGTACATAGACATTGGATGCACCATGAATGAAAACTGTACATAGACATTGGATGCACCATGAATGAAAACTGTATATAGACATTGGATGTACCATGAATGAAAACTGTATATAGTTCTGTACATAGACATTGGATGCATCATGATTGGAAACTGTACATAGACATTGGATGCATCATGATTGGAAACTGTACATAGACATTGGATGCATCATGATTGGAAACTGTACATATGTCACAGGGTGAGAAAATTGTGCAGCCTGACCGGGACTCGAACCCGGGACCCTCGGAATACCGTTCCGCGGCTCTACCGACTGAGCTATCCGGCCGCTTACACATCTTCTCCCCTAAATAGTGAACAGTTCTGAACCGTGACACATAGACATTGGATGCACCATGAATGAAAACTGTACATAGACATTGGATGTACCATGAATGAAAACTGTACATAGACATTGGATGTACCATGAATGAAAACTGTATATAGACATTGGATGTACCATGAATGAAAACTGTATATAGACATTGGATGTACCATGAATGAAAACTGTATATAGACATTGGATGTACCATGAATGAAAACTGTATATAGACATTGGATGTACCATGAATGAAAACTGTATATAGACATTGGATGCATCATGAATGAAAACTGTATATAGACATTGGATGTACCATAAATGAAAACTGTATATAGACATTGGATGTACCATGAATGAAAACTGTATATAGACATTGGATGCATCATGAATGAAAACTGTATATAGACATTGGATGCATCATGAATGAAAACTGCACATAGACATTGGATGTACCATGAATGAAAACTGTACATAGACATTGGATGTACCATGAATGAAAACTGTACATAGACATTGGATGCATCATGATTGGAAACTGTACATAGACATTGGATGTACCATGAATGAAAACTGTACATAGACATTGGATGCATCATGATTGGAAACTGTACATAGACATTGGATGTACCATGAATGAAAACTGTACATAGACATTGGATGTACCATGAATGAAAACTGTACATAGACATTGGATGTACCATGAATGAAAACTGTACATAGACATTGGATGTACCATGAATGAAAACTGTACATAGACATTGGATGTACCATGAATGAAAACTGTACATAGACATTGGATGTACCATGAATGAAAACTGTACATAGACATTGGATGTACCATGAATGAAAACTGTACATAGACATTGGATGCACCATGAATGAAAACTATAGACATTCAGTCATGTACATTATCTAAAATAGATATTTGTAAAAAGGAAATATTTCAATAATTATTACAAAATTATTAAATAGCAACTTTATGGCTTTCTATAAAGTATGAAAAATCATCAAACCTTTTCCGCGATGAATACAATTCCTTGAATTACAAACTTTTGACATTTTACTCCCTTCCTTAATGTTAGAGTGATGTCCACCAATCGAATGTCTACAAGAAATGGCAAGGGACTTTGTATGCACTGTACATTTTATTATGTCGGAATGTCCATAAACTGGTGTAGAGGTTAATACCAGTGGTTGAGAAATCTGATATGAAGTTCAGAATATGAAATTTATGTTTTTCAGTACTTTTTTATGTATATTGAAATGAACATATTCTTCAATTAGGGTGCTTGTAACATGGTAAAAAAAATATAGCTTAATTAGTAATTAATAAACATGTCATAATTCTGGTCATAAAAGATGAAAACCTCTTAAAGGTTAGTTCCTACAAACCCGCCACTGCATTTCATTATTTCAATCTTGACTCATCAAGTATGAGTTGAAGGTCCAACTTTTATCCCCAGATGAACTTTTCACGCCACCTTTCTATATTTAAATTTGATAAATGTAATGTAAATATTGTCTGTCTGTCATTTAACTTTAGTCAAAATCACACTGGTGCAATTTTTTAACATTCTATTATGTCATGATAGATAACTGTGTTATGAAACCAAAAAAAAAAATCCCCTCTATTATATATGTGAGTCACAAGTGATAAAACCAACATAACATACATTTAATTAGTATGTATACTTGTATACTTAGTATAAATATATAGTCATTAAGATTTTAACCAGGTTATATGGTGTACATGTATGTATTTAACCTGCCATGTTTGATTACCAATTTAAAGTATCTTTGACTTTAAAAATGAAACATAAATCCACTAATTAGCAGTGGCCATGTACTAGTTTATTATATACAAGTACTTATAAATGAAATATCAAGAACTACACATATTGATGAAATAAAATGCGAATTTACATTTTCTCTATTTTCAGCGTAAAAATGCATTTTTCACTGCAGTGAAACATATTTTCCATATTTTCACTGGTGTCTTGTCAGACTACTTTCTTCTAAATAAAGCCAATACAAAAAGTTAATGGTGAAGTCTTTCAAATTGTAACATAAAAAATAAAAATGTATATAATAAACAGAAAATTCAATTCATCTTGTAGAATGAAAATTATATTATCAGATATTTACTAGCTCAGCTACTGCCGCTCATGAAATATTTATTTTCATACCACTCAATGAAAATAAATCCTGTATTTATAGAATTTTTTTTTAATATCCTCTATATATTATTAGTAATAAAGGTTAGTGTCAATTTATACGACTCAGTGTAACAGTTTCAACCATTTATACATGTATAATAGCAAATTTCCATGTTTTAGTCTTTCATATTAATTGACTCTAAAGTCCCTTTTTTGCCCCCAGATTAATCTATTTTTAACCTTTACCAAGTTAAATGTGAATTTTTTAATCTGGACAAAACCATCATTTATAAAAAAGAAAGGAAAAAGATTTTCATGTACTGACTGAATTGTGAACAGTGCATGATAAGCTGGTTGACCCCCGTCTGAACTGGTTGCATGGGTAGATTCAGTCAAAGTCAGTAGGCTACCAGTTAACAAGCACGAGAAAATCATGTCAAATTTAGTACATGAACATGTGATGCAAGTTCTTTTATATTCTAAATTTTCAAGGAAATATACATATCAGATGTTATTGCATTGTACACAATTTATAGGTTTATTAATTTCAAAAACCACAACTTAAGATTTTTAATAACACATCTGTGGCTGCATGTATTTGTAGAGTAGCTTTTAAATTAAGGTTGTGTTATCAGACAGTTATGTCAAGACCAAGACTTAATACAGACTTAATACCCTAACCTGTTCAATTTCTTAAATGGACTTGTTCACCTTTCACTTTATCAATTTGCGGGATATTAGTATGAAAGTTTCAAAGTTTGAAGTTGGTCATACAGCACTCAGGCAGCATTGTGCAGTCTGACCAGGCTCTATACTGGTGGCAAAGGCTGATCACTTTCAGTTCATTAATACAGTTACACTCCAGTTAGATATTCCCATCTGTACCAGCTGGAGAAATGGTTATGATGAATATGTACACTGGGTCACACCACTGATGCATACATGAGTCAAATTTGCATATATATATGTTTATACAATGTATCCGTTTGTTTGTTTGTTTGTTTCATTTTACGCCTTTTCTAAACAGTATTTCAGTCTTATAGGCAGGTAGTTTCCTAACCATCGTTCCTGGAGAGTTACACCAGTACTAGACTACCTTTCTCTGTGCTAAACTACCAAAGCATCTCCCGGGGATCAAACCCACGCCAGAGAGGTAACTGGATTAGAAGTCATCGACTCTAACCCCATGACCACAGAGTTGGTACATATACAATGTAACTAAATCTGAAAAACATTCAGCCACTTTTTTGTTTTATCCAGGGTTGGACTTTCAAGGCTTTTCAAGATCGTAAGTCCATTTTGCAGAGAAGTTATCTGAGATATCTTGCCCATTAACATTAATGATTAAGTTACATACTGAAAAGAACTGTCGGTTGG